CTAGCTAACGGCAGCCTACAACATGTAACAAACCCTGCACTGCCCTATCAATTTTAACATATTTATCCTACCGTTTTTGCTACCGGGACTAATGACCATTACACCGAAAAATCAGACCCAATCAAACGCCCCGTCGGACGAGAGTCAAATCATAATTACAATCAGATAAACCCCATGAATCCGAGCTCTCTTTAAGAAAAGAAACCCACCGTCCACCCATTCTATCGTGTAAACGGATTTGTCGGCCCGACATCTAAAATGGCCCCCCCTGGAGGTCTTAAGTGGTACAGTGCCCTAAAGAATGCGCATATCTGAATTTACCAACCATTGACCATAGTTACCAATGAAATATAAACGTATCACTCTAAATTATCATTGCCATCCGTTACCAATGAAATAAATTATCATTGTCTATAGTTACCAATGAAATAACATTTTAGCAGACTCCAGTCGACCAGCAACAACGCCACCTGAGGCCAGGTTATAATGGAACATCTCTTCAATGTACACAAGTCATATCCAATCTAACAAACTCCGAAGCGGTAAGAACACACTCACCCTTTTTCGGCCGTGCTTCAGAGAGAGTTAGGCCGGCGGTTGACTGAAACAAGGAAGAGACGCAAAACCAGCCCCACGTTGGGCGCCATTATGTCGTATATGATGAATGGTGGCAATTATCGCTGTCAACAAAGAGTTCGCCATACTGCATCGTGTTAGAGGCTTTTATTAAAATCACGAATCTACAGCATAGATACAGACTCGCGATGTCCGGAGAACGGCTCCCAGATTGATATGGCCGTTCTGTCGTCTCATCGTTTAACTCCTATTTATAAACAATGCAAAGGGAGGGGCTACTCCCTCTTCTGGCCAATCACCAGTCTCCCCTCGGGCGTCACCCTCCAAGCGGCACATTTCAAATAACATCATAAAACATCCCCCCTTTGGCCTGAACAACCAACATTCCATTTCGTCATGAAAAACATTTAACAAAGGCATAATCTTCAGATACGATAATAGCATGAGACGGAGTCTACAACCCACACAAGTGGCTCAGGTAGTGCAGCTCATCCAGAATGGCACATCAATGCGAGCTGTTGGAAGAAGGTTTGCTGTGTCTGTCAGCGTAGTGTCCAGAGCATGGAGGCGCTACCAGGAGACAGGCCAGTACATCAGGAGACGTGGAGGAGGCCGTAGGAGGGCAACAACCCAGCAGCAGGACTGCTACCTCCGCCTTTGTGCAAGGAGGAGCAGGAGGAGCACTGCCAGAGCCCTGCAAAATGACCTCCAGCAGGCCACAAATGTGCATGTGTCTGCTGAAACGGTCAGAAACAGACTCCATGAGGGTGGTATGAGGGCCCGACGTCCACAGGTGGGGGTTGCGCTTACAACCCAACACCGTGCAGGACGTTTGGCATTTGCCAGAGAACGCCAAGATTGGCAAATTCGCCACTGGCGCCCTGTGCTCTTCACAGATGAAAGCAGGTTCACACTGAGCGTGACAGACGTGACAGAGTCTGGAGACGCCGTGGAGAACGTTCTGCTGCCTGCAACATCCTCCAGCATGACCGGTTTGGCGGTGGGTCAGTCATGGTGTGGGGTGGCATTTCTTTGGGGGGCCGCACAGCCCTCCATGTGCTCGCCAGAGGTAGCCTGACTGCCATTAGGTACCGAGATGAGATCCTCAGACCCCTTGTGAGACCATATGCTGGTGCGGTTGGCCCTGGGTTCCTCCTAATGCAAGACAATGCTAGACCTCATGTGGCTGGAGTGTGTCAGCAGATCCTGCAAGAGGAAGGCATTGATGCTATGGACTGGCCCGCCCGTTCCCCAGACCTGAATCCAATTGAGCACATCTGGGACATCATGTCTCGCTCCATCCACCAACGCCACGTTGCACCACAGACTGTCCAGGAGTTGGCGGATGCTTTAGTCCAGGTCTGGGAGGAGATCCCTCAGGAGACCATCCGTCACCTCATCAGGAGCATGGCCAGGCGTTGTAGGGAGGTCATACAGGCACGTGGAGGCCACACACACTACTGAGCCTCATTTTGACTTGTTTTAAGGACATTACATCAAAGTTGGATCAGCCTGTAGTGTGGTTTTCCACTTTAATTTTGAGGGTGACTCCAAATCCAGACCTCCATGGGTTGATCAATTTGATTTCCATTCATAATTTTTGTGTGATTTTGTTGTCAGCACATTCAACTATGTAAAGAAAAAAGTATTTAATAAGATTATTTCATTCATTCAGATCTAGGATGTGTTATTTTAGTGTTCCCTTTATTTTTTTGAGCAGTGTATATATAATCACCACGTTGAGTGGCAGATTTGAGAGAAATTTCACTAAGCAAGAAACTGAAGAAAAAAAACCCATTCCAAAACAGGGATACAATTTTAACTTGAGAAACACTAATTTTCATTTTCAACCGCACGTTTGGAAACTTTTGGCAACTATATGCCCTAATGAATATGACCCTACTAGTTTGTGAAACTGTAGTGCTGTACAAACTGTGGCGAATCTATTGCTGTTCAACTTCTCCCCCCTCTGGTCAGGCATTGTAACAGGAACTAGGAAAGAAAACAAGCCTGTCTACCTACGCACACAGATCTCTGATGATTTAACAAAAAATTAATACATTTACAACTTGGGAATCGCTGGCTTTCACTGTTATATAGCACATTTTCGACAATTTCTCTTGGAGTGGGCCACTAACAAAAGTGTAAGCAAGGAGCAAAGGATTCCAATGCATTTTCACATGCAAATAGCAATTGGTTTCTATAGTGCTTTACGAGTGACATTCCATGAGAGCAACATTACTTTTAAAAACATGATTTCAAGCTGTATGTCATTTGTTTGCCTGCAAAAACAAACATTTGAGTTCTAGCTCCTTAGTTTTTTGGTTACAACAGGGCAGGGATGGGCAACTGGCGGCCCGCACCCCTTTTGAAGGCACTCAGTCGGGGTCTCAACTTACTGTTGCAAGTTAGAATAATAAAATAAAGGTGCAATTTCAAAATGTGGTTGTGCATCAGCAGTTTCTCTTATGTCAGTCACTGATAGTCACTCAATTAGCCCATGTCAGCTAACATTTTTTAGATTGGTAAATTAGTCTAGCGGCCAGCTATCTAAATTGAGTAATCATGGTCGAATTATCGGCCGGGGGGCCCCATTGATTTTGTTAGTCAGTCTCACTCAGATATATTAAAAACTGCAAACCTTTCTCTCCACCTTATGGCAAAATGTGTAGAACCACAGGAAATTAGCTCTAAAACAGCTATTTCCTTTCCTCCCCATGGCAAAATTTGTAGAATTACATGATGCACATGTGGGTATACAGACACGCAAGCAACCGCGATCCCTCATGATGAGTTGATTTTTTGTGGACCCCACCCCATCAAAAGTGCCCATCCCTGCGATAGGGTAATCTAGTTGCATTTATAAGTCATATTCTTTCAAATCAATGGAATTCTCCGGAATATTTCATCAATCAAAATCATACATCTCTTACAGACTACACACGCAACAAGTAAAGAGCGAAACATTTGTAGAAAAGGAAACTGACAAAGACACCCATTTTGTATATCTATTTATTACCACCATAATATGAGAAATTTGGAAAATACAAACATCAGCTTATTTAAACATCTGAAAATCTTGAGGAATAAGAAAAATATATATAAGAAAACAAACATGAGGTTATATTGTGTATCACAAATTGCGAGGAAAAGGACAGATTCTATGGTCAGATCTAGTGAAGTGAGCGAGACAGAAAAGAACCCAAACATGCAGAGTAACTCTTGCTACTACAAAGTCAATTTATAATGGTGTGACAACTCTAATGCCGATCTTAAGAGACTGAGATCGGGTAAAGCGATTGAGAGTAGCATCGTGGATAATGACAAATTGATAGCGAGAAAAACTAAATAGGAAGGGGGCCGGTATATATCAGCCCTGTGTGGCTGCCATTGGAACAGGAGCTCTCTTATGAAACCGAGCTCTTCCTGATTGGTTTAAAGATAATTCTGTAAAAACAAGTTTGCCATGTCTTAAAACGTCAATCACTTCGTTTTTTCTTATTCATATTTTGACATCTCTGGCAGTGGTAAAAAGAAAAGATATGTATGAATTATTTTTAAAAAAATAGACACCATATCCACAATGATAGTAATAATAACATATTTTTAAGTAACCAAGAAGAGATACTTGTTTGCCTTTGAATAGAATTTGCTTGGCTGATCAGAGCTCTCACTCCAACACACCAACAGCGCTCCACATACACCCCCCACCATAGACTTAGAGGGGCAGGAGAGTGGGAAGGGGAGGGCTGGATAGGGATCAGGGGAGTAGGCGGGGAAGGGTTTGGGGTCTGGCTGTGGTGGGCAGGAGGGTGCATGGGGAGGGGACCCCAGGTCAGGTGTAGAGGATGGAGCAGGAAGTGGGTGAGAGGGGTGGTGGTCAGACAGGGCAGAGGCCCTGGGGTTAGTTTTAGTAGCACCCTGCTGTGGAAGTTGCCACTCCCCTTAAGCAGACTAGCCCCGGGGCGACGACCCTCTGGTCTGCACACCTGTGTGTGTGTTGCAGAAACCCGACGCCTGTCACAAAACACACACTCACCTGATATCTCCCCTGGTCAATCAGTGGAGTTTTGTTGTAGGAGAGCTGAGGACACATGGTTCACACACACACAAGCATGTGTATGTGTGTGTGTGTGTGTGTATTTGTCTGATCAGCGACACCTACTACATGCACGAAAAAGGTACCCTAAAACATCTGCTGAAGACAAAAACTATGAGAGTGGAGACTTTACAACACGTTTCTATCTCATCATAATCACGGTTACTCTAAAGTCTACCAAGAAGAAAACAGGGAGAGGGGGCTGAGGAGTGACATGGAAGGGTGGGGGGAACGAGGGAGTGAAGGCAAGGACAGTTAGAGATAAAGAAAAAAAGAGAATAGAGGTGAAACATTAAAGAGAGAAAAGAAAGAAGGGCGGCATTTAAGCGCGCTCTCCGCGGATGCGACGTGCCAGCTGGATGTCTTTGGGCATGATGGTGACACGCTTGGCATGGATGGCGCAAAGGTTGGTGTCCTCAAACAGACCCACCAGGTATGCCTCGCTGGCCTCCTGCAGACAGACAGAAAAATTCACACACACACAAATGCATAGAGAACAGTTGGTCAGCACAAAAAAAGGAATTTGAGCATTTGTGCATGTTGTTATGTCACCGTGTGTGTAGTAGGCCAATTTGGACAGGATCTGGGTTAGGGGGGACAGAGCATCACACACACACACAGCCACTGACCTGAAGGGCTCCGATGGCGGCACTCTGGAAGCGCAGGTCAGTCTTGAAGTCTTGAGCAATCTCCCTCACAAGGCGCTGGAAGGGCAGCTTGCGGATAAGCAGCTCAGTTGACTTCTGGTACCGACGGATCTCACGCAGGGCCACGGTGCCGGGCCTGGAACCAACACACTGTCAGTATGACTAGGGGGAAAAAGTATATATTCTTTTCTATTTTACTATAGTACTTCACTGTTCATTTTCCCATGCTGAATGCTACTGCCCTGGTCGTGTCTGGCCATGGTAAAGACTGAGTGGTAACGACCGTTTACCAGCAGTCACGGCTTAATTATAAGGCTTGTTGAACTGCTAATTGAAAACATAGTGTCTGCGTCCGAAATGGCACCCTATTTTCTATGGGTCCTGGTTAAAAGTAGTGCACTATATAGGGAATAGGGTGCCATTTCGGACACACAAAGGGACTTATTGGACTGTCAAGTCATTTCCACAACAATATGGATTGGTACCGCCTCTGTGGTTTCACACAAGCTCTACATGTCATAATAGGGCTGTATCGCTCGCCGACCTTGACGTGTGTATATAATATAATATAATAATAATATAATATAATATAATATAATATGCCATTTAGCAGACGCTTTTATCCAAAGCGACTTACAGTCATGCGTGCATACATGTTTTGTTTTTTTGTGTATGGGTGGTCCCGGGGATCGAACCCACTACCTTGGCGTTACAAGCGCCGTGCTCTACCAGCTGAGCTACAGAGGACCAGTGTACTTTCTATGGTGAACACAAACAATTCTTTCCAGGGGTGAACCGATGCTTTACCTGTAACGATGGGGCTTCTTGACCCCACCAGTGGACGGGGCACTCTTGCGGGCAGCCTTGGTGGCCAGCTGCTTACGTGGAGCCTTTCCTCCAGTGGATTTACGGGCGGTCTGCTTGGTACGAGCCATGACGAGTTAGTTATATCTGAAAGACAGGAAAAAACACATGGGAAAAATGTTGAATATGTGTCAACAATGCTCTGTTTGATACATTCTGTGAGTTGCAAATATATTTAAATGTAATTTTTCCAAGTGTTAAATGTATACTAGTGTGTAGTCTGATTAATCAGGCTGTAATACACAATTAATTGGAATATACAGCTTGAGACATTTGTGTGGAAAATCTTGTAAATGTTCCTTACAAGCCAGAATGTTGAATAAGATTACATTTAAACTTACTGTACCAGTTGTCTGTGCGGTTTGTCCTTCTGCTGCTCAAAATTTTTGACAAAATATCCACAGGAAAGTATTGTTTACCTAACTTTTTAGAGAGCTGGTAGGTATATGGTTCAGTTCAGCACCTAGGTAAAATTAGTTTCATATTGGATATTCAATCTTTAAAAAAAATATATTGTTCTCCATCCATATACCATTTTCTTGGTCATGTCATGCTTGGTTCAATAGCTATTGGTGAAGAAAAATAATAAAACATATCCAATATAAAACTAACTTTACCTAGGTGCCAAACAGAACCATACACAGTGCATTCGGAAAGTTTTCAGACCCCTTGACTCTTTTGTTATGTTACAGCCTTATTCTAAAATGGATTAAATTGTTTTTTCCCCCCTCATCAATCTACAGACAATACCCCATAATGACAAAGCAAAAACAGATTTAGAATTTTTCGCAAATGTATATTTAAAAAACCCTGGAAATAAAACATTTACATAAGTATTCAGACTCTTTACTCAGTACTTTGTTGAAGCACCTTTGGCAGCGATTACAGCCTCGAGTCTTCTTGGGTATGATGCGACAAGCTTGGCACACCTGTATTTGGGGAGTTTCTCCAATTCTTCTCTGTAGATCCTCTCAAGCTCTGTCAGGTTGGATGGGGAGCGTCACTGCACAGCTATTTTCAGGTCTTTCCAGAGATGTTCGATCGGGTTCAAGTCCAGGCTATGGCTGGGCCACTCAATGACATTCAGAGACTTGTCCCGAAGCCACTACTGCGTTGTCTTTGCTGTGTGCTTAGGGCCGTTGTCCTGTTGGAAGGTGAACCTTCGCCCCAGTCTGAGGTCCTGAGCGCTCTGGAGCAGGTTTTCATCAAGGATCTCTCTGTATTTTGTTCCGTTCATCTTTCCCTCAATCCTGAATAGTCTCGCAGTCCCTGCCGCTGCAAAAACATCCCCACATTATGATGCTGCCACCACCATGCTTGACCGAATCTTGTTCTCATGGTCTGAAAGTCCTTTAGGTGCCTTTTGGCAAACTCCAAGCGGGCTGTCATGTGCCTGTTACTGAGGAGTGGCTTCTGTCTGGCCACTCTACCATAAAGGACTGATTAGTGGAGTGCTGCAGAGATGGTTGTCCTTCTGGAAGGTTCTCCCATCTCCACAGAGGAACTCTGGAGTTCTGTCAGAGTGACCATCGGGTTCTTGGTTACCTCCCTGACCAAGGCCCTTCTCCACCGATTGCTCAGTTTGTCCGGGCGGCCAGGTCTAGGAAGAGTCTTGGTGGTTCCAAACTTCTTCCATTTAAGAATGATGGAGGCCACTGTGTTCTTGGGGACCTTCAATGCTGCAGACATTTTTTGGTACCCTTCCCCAGATCTGTGCCTCGACACAATCCTGTCTCGGAGCTCTACAGACAATTCCTTCAATCTCATGGCTTGAATTTTATATAGACAGATGTGTGCCTTTCCAAATAATGTCCAATCAATTGAATCTACCACAGGTGGACTCCAATCAAGTTGTAGAAACATCTCAAGAATGATCAATAGAAACAGGATGGACCTGAGCTCAATTTCGAGTCTCATAGCAAAGGGTCTGATTACTTATGTAAATAAGGTATGTTTTTTTATTTCTAATACATTTCGAATTAACCTTTTTTTTTTTAGCTTTTTCATTATGGGGTATTGTGTGTAGATTGATGAGGAATTGTTTTTATTTAATCAATTTCAGAAGGCGGTAAGGTAACAAAATGTGGAAAAGGTCAAGGGGTCTGAATACTTTCCGAATACACTGTACCTACCAGCTCTCTTAAAAAGTCAGGTAAACAATACTTTCCTGTGGATATTTTGTCTCAAATTTCAAGCAGCAAAAGGCCAAACCGCACAGGCAACCGGTAGAGTAATTTTAAATGTAATTTCATTAAACATTCTGTCTTGTAAGGAACATTTACACGATTTTGCACACACGTCTCAGGTTGTATATACCAATTAATTGTGTATTACAGCCTGATTAATCAGACTAACTAGTGTGTTGGTATTATGGAGAAATTATGACTGCGATGATTGCATCTGGAGTACTACTCTGTTATGATAACTTTCTATTTTGCTGAGCATCTGCAATGCTACAGCAACAGTGGGCCAGTCATATAAATCTATTTCTATGGGCCAGTATCCTACCCGTGAACACTCGGATACTGCCCAACCAATCAAACTAGTATGCAGATAGCCTATCGAAAAACATCCAATCCAGTGGGCCATTTCCTCGCTGTCGACCAATCAAGATACACTGCTTAGAGCGTAGGGATGGGTCCACAGACCATAGTGCCGCCTCTAACCGCATGATTATGGCTGCAGATGGAGAAGCAATCGAATAAGTCTACCAATATAGTGGCAAAGAGCGGGACATAAACTTTAAAAAATCTTCTAAAAACAAAACAAAAATCAGGACTACGAGCATTAAAACATCCAAGTAGACAACTGTAGCTATCCAAAAAGTTGCTTTGAGTTGTAGGTGAATGTTTGTTTACACCGTACAAGCGAAGTAAAAATACACATGAAATTGGATCGGGATTTTATATGTGGTTCCGCCAGTGGAAGTAGAAAGCCTTTTTCTCTGGCATCGCGGCAGTCGCTTTTCCATTTCTACACCGACGGAATGAAAGGCTATTTTGGAATAAAACGAAGTTTAACCAATCTAAAACTTATATAAAAATGTGCTTAAGTGCTTTAGACAAAAAAATATGCCACTTACCTGGCGTGAATATAAATGTTTTTCTCAAGGAAATAAATGTTATGGTTGTCTAGCAGTTTCAGTATTTACTATCTCTCACACAATGGTGGGAACACGGCGTCCAGTAGGAAATGGCTGCCGTGTCAATCATTCTTCTCCCATAATGCAACTGCTTTCAATTTTGTAAACACCGTTTCTGATGATTGAATCTTTCCCTGAAAGTAACATTTGCATTGCTTTCTAGTGAATTTTCTATCGATGTGAAGTAATATAATAAGAAATAACCTAAAGTGCTTAATCAATTAATTGTGAAAGAAGGAATAAGGTAGTAACCACAGTTTTATCTGTCTGCTTTTCCAACAGCATTTGCTTTGCCAAAGTGGCAGTCTACTTTTTCTCTGCAACAGCCTACATTTATTTGTAGAGGCTAAAACATGTAGGTAGGCCTATATTATGCAATATGGCAGTTTGTGTGTAAAAGTTTGCTAACAATTTCTTAAGAAAATAGAAGATCTTCAAAACAACTACACAATCTGGGAAAGGGTTAAGAAAAAAGAGAGAGGTACAGACTGGTGTCATTGACCATCAAAGCGAAAATCAAGGATAATTTAAGGTGCAAAATCACGGGTTTTGTTTAATCATGGTTGATTTGACAGCTTCATAAAAAAAAATGTTTTATAATAATGTTATCATTTTATAATTTAGAGATTAAGTAATTTATTATAATGTTCATCTGGCTTACTGTAGGCCTGCTTTACAACAGCCTTCCCATTGTGAGTGTGTGTGATGAATCAGTTCACTGAATTACAGGGTTATTAAGAAGTTGTAACACTGACATTTAATTTCAAACAACAAAAAACAACACTTGATTTTGTAGGATTGTTTATTTTTTTATGGTGAGAAGGCATGGTGTGGAAGGGTCAGACTCTTGGTTTATGAATCGATGCTAAAAAACACATGAACAAGCAGAGTTTAATAGGCTATTGAATTCAGTTTAGAAAAGTTAGTAACTTTTGGGAAATCAGTTCCCAGTAATTTCCCATCCATTTCATGCCTGAATGTAGGCTAAAGGTGCCCACGTGCTAGGTTTGGTTTGCTCCTAGCAGTACTCGGCTAGGCAAAGCAAACGTCTGTGCCTTGCATACTCCCTTAAAAAAAAAACGGAAATATTACTGTTTGTACCTCTTCTGACCCGTAGCAACAACATAGT